ACCTTTTCTTTGATTATCTAAAACTCAAACATTCTTCAATAAAATTCACTATGGAATTAGAATCCAACAATTGCTTTTCGTCTGTCGATTGTAAAGTTACTAAATCTGGCGAAATCTTTCAGATTTACGTATATCGAAAACTGACAATTACCGGCTTGGGTGAATGAGCTTCTTCAGCTTCTGCTCATTTCTTCGCAAATTGAATAGTCTTCAAACTTTGATATACCGCGGCTATAGGGTTTGTTATACCTACCATGATATGCATTTGGAATTAGAATTTATTCGTAATATATTTCAGCTGAATGCTTTTCCATTGTGCCTTGTGTTTAGCAAAAGCAAACGCTTCTTATCCAACAAAATTTCTGAAAATGTGAGTGAATGCGATAGTAAGGAAATTATTTATTGCGCATTACCCTATTTTTTGTATTGAGTCTGAAACTATGTCCAGTGAACTTAAGAATTTGTTTATAAAATATTTCCCGAATATAAATTTGCACGTTATGCTTGTAAATAATTTCAAAACTGGTTCATTCTTCATGTATAAGGACGTAATTCCTACCCGGATGAGATCAAACATGGTTTATAAGTATAGTTATACGCGCTGCGCATCTGCGTACGTTGGAATGACGTCGCGTAACTTCTACATCCGGGTTTCTGAACACCGCGGCAGGAGCTACAGTTCTAACTTGCCTCTTTCCAAGCCTCCTCATTCTTCCATGCGCCTCCATGCTGAACAGTGCGACGTGGCTGTATCTGAGAGTGATTTCATGATACTCGGTTCCACTTCTGGCTGCTCGTTTTAAGAATATTGGAGTCTCTACATACCTTCAAAAGAAAACCGTGTCTCAATAATGCGTTCAGTTCCTGACCTTTTGAACTATATATAGTGAAGCACTAGGCTTTTTTGTTTTAGTGTTTTCCTGAGGTGTTAATATCCTTTCGTGTCTCCTATGACTCTGTATTTCGCGAGTCTTTGTTTTCGATATAAGGTTGTTTTGTGTTTTATGTCTTTTTAAGGTTTCAATGTCTGACTTGAAATTTTGAATTATAATATGATTGTATTAATTTTTTAGATTGTCGAACTGATGATGGACCTGGACTCCGAAACGTTTTCAATATCGATATGGTGAATTTGCTTGGCGTTTTCTTTGCTTTTAAATTCCTTTTAACTATTAAATTATTTTCGTCCGCTTAGTTTTGAAATTTGATCATGATTTTTTTCGTTCCCTTGTTTTTGAAATTTGATCCTATTACAATGGTGTGAGAAAAACAGGAATAGTAACTTATGGTGATATGGGCTTCATTTTTGGTAATTTCGGTTGTTGCGTGAACTGGTTTCTCAATTACAATTTACTTTAATTCTCGAATACTTTAATTTACTTTCGGGTGGTATTGTAATAGCATTGGGGTTTTGGGACTGATTCATTTTACTAATATATTATTATACTTATTATAAGTTTGTCGTACAAAACATTCTAATCTACGGTTTTGATCCAGAAACTGAGCTTTAATTTTCTGTGAGAGAATCATCGTACTTCTATATTAAAATTACGTATCATATAAATAAATCTGTAACATAAGTTATGACAAAAGAGCAGTTTTCAAATAAATTTTGTTTTGAGTAATAAAAGTACATTGATAATCGAACTAATCTCCCATATTTCTCCGACTGACCTGCGAACTGAAGGCCACTCGTATCCATGATACCAGAGTGTGGAGTTGACCGTCGTCAGGGGCGCGTCAATTGGACGTCGACGCCCTGGCATGCCGGGCAAATATTGCAGTTCAAGTCTGATTGGACTTTGAATATTTTAATATAAAGTTAATATTTCATCGCTGGTGCTGGAGAAATATTGCAGCTTGGGGCTGAACGAAGTAGCCGAACGTATAAAGTAAGAGGTCTCATGACTCTATTCGCCAAACATTTTTGACTGTCATATTGAGTATGAAATTATGTGTGAAAGTCTTCAACATACGACAAGTGTATCAAATTATTTATTTTGATTCGTCTGTTCACAAACGAGCCTCAAAAAGTATGTCGATTCGAGAAGAATATTTCAACGTTGTAATCTCGCAATAAAAGCAGAACTGTGCAAATAAAGTCAAATTATTGTAGTCAACCCGGATATCAAATGCATCGAAGAATTTTTTGAACGAGTTTCTGCAAGAATATAAGAATTTTGTGAATGCAAGGTTCGAAGCACCGAATGCAAGAGCTGGGTTATGCATGCTTGCCAGCCGTATTCATAAATATGTCTATTTATGACTCAAGAGCAGTAAACATCACTACATTCACCTGCATGATTATTACGTGAGTATTAATCGCGTAATATTAACGTGTTATGGGGCAAAAAATACTGATACGTATGAATGCGTGTCGTGTCACATTCGTCTCCGTTGACTGTA